GGGGGTTGTCGAATGCACATGGGGATGTGGGAGAGAGAGTCGCCTTCGAAGTGGTCATCTCTGACTCTTGCTGAGTATGCGTATTTCATATTGGTGCTCTGGTGATGTTTGTTGAATTTGTTGTCTGTCATTCTCATGGTGGAGAGGTTGCGAATACGTCATGGAATTGGACGGTGCTGGACTTGGCACCTTTACGGTGTGTCTGCCTTCATTACTGAGTGAGGCGTTTGAGGCACCTGTATATGGGGAAATTTGTTGATTACCTAGTCCTAGTCTCTACCTCAGTAGTTTTTCATAACGTCATTTGCTCGCATGGAGCCGAGGACGATTAGTACCTTATCCTGGCACTACTCAGACACAAGGGAATTGCTTCTTGAATATCGAAGCTGGTCTGTTGCAACACAATCAGGACTCATTAGTCATCATTGTACGAAATTTGAAAGTGTAGCCTTGTCAAAGGTCAGTCTTGATTTGAAGCCTCATGGATTGAACCATTTAAAGTTGATTCCTTTGTGACAATAAACTACACATCCATCCACTAGGACTAGGACTGTTATCCGTTACGTCAAGTTTGCTTACTGCTGCCACTGAATTAACGATCTAAATCACTATTGTAGATTTAATAAGGCACATTAAAGCGGTAAATTTTTTATTATTAGTAAATTGAAGGGTTGGGAGCCATGGGCACGAACTAAAATTTATCACACCAAGGTGGTTGCCGGACGGTTAAGGCTGCATATGTAATAGTACTGTGGACCTGCAACTTTTGCTCCTTTGCGTTTTACAATGCCGTTTATAGACTGTTATTCATGCAATCGTGTACATTGGAAGTTATCTCGTCCTTTGGCTCTGCTTCATTATGGCCTACAACGCCCTTGGTGTATCTCAAATTGCTCCAGATCCGCCCTATTACATCATCTTCTTTCTGATGAGGGATTCTCGTTTCTGGCTCTGCATGCTTATCACCAGCATAACTGCAATTCTTCCTAGGTTTGTCTTTCTACCTCAACTTTGTTCCTTCCCACCTTGATTTTTGGTCAATTTGATATTATCACCATCATCCTACAGGCTATTGTTAAACTCCACTTTAAACACCTTCGCACCGAGTTTGGATACCCTGGCAGCACGACTGCAGGTGAAGCACGGAGTGGGTGTGACCCTGCCTATCAGTCGTTACGTAGAGGAGCACGACACCTGTCAGCGCCGACACGGCGTGCGCCGTCATCACGGCCTGCGAGTGGGTGAACCGAATAATATTCGATCGCGCATCACCCAATGGTTCACCTCAGCGGGTCGCCTGATCCAGCGTATGCCCACACTGCGTCGGCACATTGACCAGCCCTCCGTGGTGCTGGTGCGTAATGTCTCCCTTGTGTGGCCCCGACGTTCCTCCAATCCCGAGTTGGTGGCTCACACCCTCCCTCGCGTCGGTTCTAGCACCTTTGTCTCACCCCGTGATCTTCGCAGATTCAGCACCTATGATGGTGGGAGGGTTAGCAGTAAGTATTTCGCTGATTATTCCTGAACCTGCCCAAATGCATTGATCATTAGTCGGAAGTTGGATTGAAACAAGGAGTTGAATTTTTCTTGTTAAAGATTCAAGTACTTGTCAGATTTTTAGTTTTGCAATGCTCAAGACTTTCCTCCGAAGTTCGTTTGTGTGCAGCCAGACTCGATGATTCAATTATGCTCATCTTCATTACTGGTAGTGCCAATAACTCCTGTACGGATTGGTTATGGAATGAGATACGTGAAGGAGGGTGGATTAGAGTAGGATCGAAGAGATCACTTTGTTTATTTACTCTGTCTTCTTGTTGACAGGTGATCGTGGAGAATGGGTTAGACCCTACATGACAAGGACCTCGGAAGATGCCTTCATGCGTCCAGCATTGGACAACTCCAAGGTTTGCTATTACCAAGAGAGAGGGGAATAAGCGCCTCATTGGACAGAGGCTGTATTGAGTCTTTCATGCTAAAACACACCAAGAGAACACATCCTTTCCCTTCCTTTTCTTCCTTTAATCTTTTTTATACCCATCTATATGTATGCGTATCTACATATGTAGTCGCCTCATATGCCTGTAAATTGCTCACTTGACAGTCATATTTTTTTTGATATATTTTACCCAATAATAGGGCTTATGAATGCCATTGATAAGCTACCTGCCTCTGCTCATTGTTTAGCAGTTTTGGATTGGAGGTTATTAATGCGCTAACTGCACCCATCGAGCAAAGACAGCTTCAAACCTACCTGACTCATTTTGAAAATGATTGCCAAATGATAATATAGTAATATGGCAAGTATTAGTGAAGGCTCCATGCGAATGTTTCCCACTTACTTGTATTCACACTACCTTGGGTAGATAATAATGAATAGTTACTTGTTGGACACTGTAGTACTCGAGACCTTCTTGAACTTGTGGTAAGGCACAACAGCACGGAAGAATAATTCAATGCTAGCGCACAAGAGGACCCGGGTAAATAGACATCCTGTTAGACGGGTGTATGTTGCTTGGTATACATATATCGTCGTCTCTGGCAGCTTATTTAATCAAACTCGTTTTTTGCCATGCTCTCTGTTAGTGGTTAGCAATACGAGGTGTAATAGAGGCGAAGACGAGTTCCAGGCGTTGAAAGAGTGCTTCCCATTAGTAGAGGTGGGCCCAGTCCTAATTCTTTGGGACGGACCGTACCAGGCCAAGGTCAAATGGCGCCCTAGGAAAGAGATTATCATGCTGTCTGACAATAGCGTGGGTTTTATTTGACCAATTTCAATTTTGTTGATCCCCAATCTTATTTCTATAGCGACTATTGCACAGAGCATAACAACTCGGCCTTAGTAAAAGTAACCTTCGCATATTCGGTCATGCTTAGGAATGATGCCCGGTCATAGAGGGTTCACTCAATGCTACCAAGCACACAGCACAAGAAACTTTCCTTGAATCCGTAGTAAGGTCCAGCATAGTGGATTGATTGTTTCTTACTAGCGTAAAAAGCATTAAGACGGTAGACAAAAGAGAAGCGTGCATGTATAATATGAAGAGTTTGCGTAGACGAATATACATTCAGGCGTAAATTTTCTGCATTTTATTATGTCTTTTCATTCTTCAGTGATCGAGGGCAGAACAGTGTATGCGATAAGGTAACAACTAGTAACCCAAAAAGCGGTTAAATAAGCTCAAATGTTTTCACTTTGAGTATTGACGTGCATTGAAGTGGTTTTACAGCTTGTATAATTGTAAGCAATGAATTCAGTCCTCTCAGGCTGTACTTTTACTCCACAGCATGGCATTTTGACTCTTTCGTGCCTCAACAACACAGGTTTTTCCACAATACTGTGAGTTATAATGAACTAGGTGAAGAGCAGAGGCTTTACAGTACAAACCACAAAATATGACAGCGGGAAACTAAAAAAGGAGTTGCTGTATCGGAGAAGATAAGATGCATTATTCCTCCAAGAGATGACTCGCTGCATGGCCCTATCTCAAAGAGTGTAGGACCCAAGATGCAAATTTTGAAAATAAAACACCATGGGAACATCCACGAGATATTGAAGAAGTGTACAATTTTGCAAATTCGGTTGTGAAATATCGACGAAAATGACATATATATACTGTTTGGCGGCAGTTCAATATATAACCGATTTGTCAGCTGATCTTGGAAAGGCGCAAAAAACATAATTTCAAGAATGACATAAAGCAAGTTTTGGAAAGAGAAAACATACTGATCTATTATTTTTCAAGACAAACTAACACTGATTTTGGTAAACGCAAAAATTATAAAATCACAAATTCAATTATTTGATTTTAAGTACAAACAAATACCTAGAATATGTGAATAATAATGATGATGTGTTTGGTGCCTGGAAAGGCAGGGACCCGCACTTTTGGCCCAAGTGTTCAAAAATTGGTTCTTGTTAAGGATGCCAGAGAGATCCGAGCTTCAAAACTCATCTGATGCGCAGTCTCTGAGTCGACTTTACAGATTTAAGCGTCTTATGGTCGAAAATCCCTTGGTCGCCATAGGTAATTCTAGGTTACTTCTCATTTCTACAAACCACAATAGGTATAATATTCACAGGCGCTGTACTCATCAACGGAGCTCGTACAATGCGCGCTTCTAGTGCTGCTTCAATGCAGAAGATGATGCGTTGGAGAATTTATGGACAAGGTGCATCTCTCGCGTTGCTTGCGTATCTCTCACTCAAGGTCAATAAGAACTATAAACGAAAGCATCCACAGCATTCGTTGGATGATTAAATAACAGATTTTGGCCCATTGATTCACTTTGTCGCCATCCAAGTTACTTTTCCATTTTCTGCTGTACCGCCATATATTTGTTTAAGGCCTATTGGCAGTCTCCCATTCATTTTCGCATCCTGCTAATTCGTACGCTTTGTTAAAAGTCACGGTTACGTAAAACATTTTGCTTAACACGGTTCTGTGTCTCAGTTGGGTATGCTTATGTCCTACTGCGATTCTAAGAAGCCGGATGATGAATGAGTGTTTGCGTTTATATGTATGAGCTCGTCGTGATCCAATGCCCCCTGTGCACTATTCTTGGAGCTGTGGATCTCAAGATTTGAGATGTTACGCTCAGCCAATGCCCTTGTTCTCGGTTCAAAAAATTAAGCTGAGGGGAATCGCGATAGACTAAATATTCTAAGTAAAATGAATGGTTGATATTATTTGGATGGGCACTGTTATAAGTGGGAGCCTGTTTCTTACGTGCTCTCTCCGGGAGTTTGGGTGCCTACGTCTCTTTGTAGGCGAATTAGGCATCACGGTGGAGGGATTTAGCGTCCAACTCCTGATGACCCTGTTCCTTTTTTGAAGGGGCGCATTGTCATTTGTAATTTTCCTTCAAGTAGGATGAATTTGTGGTTTCTTCAGTTGCGGCGTTGTAAGATCAAAGTATAACGGTTGGAAATTAAGATGGCATGACTACATTATTGTGGCCTTGGTGGGAGTACTTTAATGCATCTCCTCATGCTTAGGTCGGGACGGCGTGTTTTGTACTAAACCATTGGCACAATTCTACCTCTAAGGCAAACTAGAATACGGCGGTCTGGTAAAGGTTTGTTACTAAAATTCGAATGTAGGCGCTCATGGAAAGTCACAAAACCCATGCAACTAAGTCTCTAACTAGGGTTTATTCTCGAAGCAGTTCCTGTGGCCCTCGTCAGCTGCCTTTTTTTTATAAAACACGCTGTGGATTCGTGTATAGATCATGGATATTGTAGCCCTTGTAGAGCCAACATCATCGGGAATGCATTCACTTACATCATATTACTTAAGAATGAATTATGTTCTTAGCGCATATACATTCCATATGCCACTCACTCTCTGTAGAGACATGGGAGGGTAGATATTGTGCTATAAACCACTGCGGTCTTAGCAAGGTAGTGAGCTACTTAGAAAGCCTTACTGAAGCGTACCAATGTGTAATACCGTCTTAATAAAGCTTCCATTGCGCGTCTGTGACAATTCAACAATCAATTGCCATTGCTTTCCTTTCATGATGTTTAAGTTGTCGAATTGAAATTAGCTGGCACTTCCAATATGACTTGAAAGGTTTCGCTAATTACAAGCACCCAGGCTCGGAAACGGCTTCACCCACCAAAGTACATGAGAGATGGGTGTCTGGTGGCATAGGCAACGTAAACAGAGATTTATGTTGCATGAGTTAAGGCATTTGTTGCCCAAAAACTGTGTATTTGATGGTATTCATTGCTGACAGTGCGTGGGTGACCTTGTTTGGTTTCCCATCACCAGTTTGTAGTAAACTGGATACAAGTGTTTTTAGGCGCGCCTATGATTTCGTGATTTACTGATTCCCGCTTCTCTCCATTCAAATGCCACATCCTCTCCACTGATGCACACTGAATATAAAGCAACTCCACTTTTTCATGCCCCATTCCCTATCTCTCTTCCTCCACTTCCTTTCACCTTCTAATGTAGAGTAGAAGTACAAGTAGTTAAGTGCAATAAGGTGGAAAAAGCTTTCTTACAAGCTCCACCGAAATGGAGAACGAAAAAGCACAGCATTACTTAGTCGAAACCATACTTTGAAAGATTGTGTGGAGGAAAAAAAAGACCTTGTAAATGCCGTGTAAACACTGTAGTACGCATCCTATTGGTGGATCCACAGAAGAAACACCTTATCTGTCAGCTAAAGTAACTCGATTCTAAGTGTCATCGCACAGAGTTATGCTCTGGAGTATCTGAGTGAAGTGATTTTACAGTGACATGATTGGCAGATGTGCGGAAGGTAAGAAGAGTGTATTAGTTGGTGTTGTCAGATAATGCCGCTTGCGACTTTACACGCTCGGTATCCCCTTTAGGTAAAAAATCCGTAAATGTAAGCAGCACACACACCACAAACTTATATTTGGTAAGGAAGGATGGCTGCGCATCAAATTTTCCACTTAAACAGCTGGGGATTTTTTGGGCCCGAATTAAATGTTTATTATAAAACAAATAAACACACAACGATGTGAGTTTGATCTTTTGCATATAAAGTGTTACTACGAGGAAAACATCTACACAGCTCATCTACAAGATGTCAAGAGTCATCCGCTTACCTGAGTCATTCAAGAACCCATTCAAGATGCGATTTGCCGTTTCATCGTTTCTGTCGCCTCTCTTCCCCCTCCTGTCCCTTGCCTGGCTGTACACACTTGCAGTAGTCCCGATATCGCAACAATTTGACACCAGTCAACCTACTCAAGACTAAGGAAGCACGGGATAGACCTGTGTCGGACAAATGTAATGAGGAGAGAGACTGACTTCACTGAAGAAGCACAGACACTGATGACCTATTTGTTTCGTGTACAGGTACCTCTAACACCTCACTCAGTAATGAAGGCAGACACACCGTAAAGGTGCCAAGTCCAGCACCGTCAAATTCCATGACGTATTCGCAACCTCTCCACCATGAGAATGACAGACAACAAATTCAACAAACATCACCAGAGCACCAATATGAAATACGCATACTCAGCAAGAGTCAGAGATGACCACTTCGAAGGCGACTCTCTCTCCCACATCCCCATGTGCATTCGACAACCGCC